CCTGAAAATGCCAGCAAGGACAGACCTAAGTCAGTCCCCTTAAAGTAATGTACATCATGGACATGCAAAGAGTTTAAAGGACAATGTATTTACATAAATCACTTCCAAACAACAATGTAGAGGGTTCATCACTTTTAGTTGTCAGTGAGGCAGGGAGAGAAAAGAACTTGCATCCTATAGTGTATTCTGCAATCTCAGCATGACCCAAAGTAATTAACTGCCAATGATGTATTTCTGAACACGTTAATGTAGAAAGTGCAGCAGCCAAATTGCACACAGCAAGCTCTGACATTCTCAGATGGCTAACAATACAATAATGACCAGATTTCCTTTTATAGTGGCATGTGTTTATCTATGACAGAGCTGCCCCCTCAGTTTGCACCACATCCACCTTCTTAAATGTTCACTGCTTCAACCACTGTTGTACAGTTGCAGACCACCTGCAATAAAAACAGAAAAAGCTGGGGAAGTTCAGCAGTAACTCAACATCTGTAGAGAGAGAGAAAAAAACCAAATATTTCAAGTTCAATATGACTTCTTCAGAAACACAACCTCCTGATTTGAAGAGAAGGTGCTACGCACTGAGTCATAGTAACACCAGTCTGGTTTGGATCTGGGCAAGTTTCTGTACTGAGTTGGCTGGAGATAGACAGCAGATAGTGGGGTAATTAACCTCTGCATCTCCAAGAGAAAGTGAATAGTACTATGAAAAAGCAAATTGTTTCTTTCCACCAGGGGTTATAAGGATAGGGTAGAGGGTGGATCTGTATGGGCTGCTCTTCAGAGGGTCAGTGTAGACTCAGTGGGCCAAATGGCCTGCTTCCATGCAGTAGGGATTCCATGATTTTATGATTCAAACTAGTACTCCTGATGAGAAATGTCATTTTGTTAATTACCGTTTGCAAAATTTTGTCTATTGATTATGGCTGCTTATTTACGTAGCAAAATTAATTGTTGTGAACAACCTCCATACGATGAAAAGGATACTGAGGTGGAAAATAGATTTATATAGTATTATCAGAACTGAATGGTTATAGCAATGATTAAAGATTCAACAGGTTGGGGCTGTCTTCTACAGAAAAGAGAAGTCTGAGGGATGACCCGATGGAGTTCTTTAAGATTTAGAATCCTGCAGTCTTACACAGGAGATCATTCAGCCCATTTCACTCAGTTGGTACTTTTAAGGAACAGTCATGAATAATTCTACATATATGCCTTTGTCTCAGCTCCTCAGGCTTGAATAGCTGTCCAAATCCCTTTTCAAATTATTTCTTGATTCAGGTTCTACCTTATTTTAAAGTAGAACATTTCGGATCACATTATGAAAGGTGTTTTATCAAGTACTGTAGAGAAAATGTTTCGACTTGCGGGTGAGACCAGAATCAGAGGCTTTAAACATAACAGACTGTGAATACAGGAATTCAGGAGAAACTTCTTCACCTGAGAGTGAGGAGAATGTGAAACTTAAAACTACAGGGAGTGGTTGAGGTGAATAGTGTTGATGCTTTTAAGCGGAAGTTAGACAAATCCATGAGGGACAGAGAGATTGAGGAATATGATCAAAGGGTGTGATGAAGGAGGATTCTGTGGAGGATAAACACCAACATTAATCCATTCAGGCTGAGTTGCTTTTTTTGTGCCTCCAGAACAAGCCATTCCCTTAGCCAGGCTGTTCCGTATAGTTACAACACAGGCATCTACAAGACAATGTTGTAAATTGAACAAATATGTCCTCCACACACACAAAAAACAGGTCAAGTCCAACTTGGCCAATTACCACCCTATCAATCTACCCTCAATCAAAGTAATGATGGAAGTTATCAAACAGCCTGGCAAGGACTAACCTGCTCACTGATGCTCAGATTGGGCTTCGCCAGGGCCACTCACTTCCTGATCTCATTATGGCCTTGGAACTGGACAAAAGAATTGAATTCTAGAGATTAGATGAGAAAAGGAGCCCTTGACATCAAGGTAGCATTTGACTGAGTGTGGCATCAAGAATCTCTAGCAAAACTGGAATAATTGGCAATCAGGGGCTCTTGGCTGGCTGGAGTCAGACCTGGCACAAAGGATGGTTGTGGTTGTTCAAAGTTAGTTATCTCAGCTCCAGGACATCCCTTTAGGCTCAAACATCTTAAGTTACTTCAACAATGTTTCCTCCATCATAAGGTCAGAAATGGAGATGTTTGCTGATAATTGCATAATTTTCATGTCCATGTACAGCAAGACCTGGACAACATCTAGGCCTGTGCCGGAACGTGACAATTAACATTCATGCTTTACAAGTGCCAGGGAATGACCATCTCCAACAAGGGAGAATCTAACCATCACCCCTTTATGTTCAATAGTATTTCCTTCATCAAATCCTCCGCCAACATCCTGGGGATTACCACTGATCAGAAACTGAACTGGACTAGCCAACTAAATACTGTGACCACAAGAGTAGATCAGAGGTTAGAAATACTCAAAGTCTATACATCAACTATAAGCCACAAGTCAGGTGTGTGATGGAATACTATCCACTTGCCTGGGTGAGTGCAGATCCAACAGCACAAGACATTTGACATCATCCAGGACAAAGCAGCCCACTTGATTGGCACCACATTCACCACCTTGAGCATTCACTCCATTCACCACCAATGCACATTGACAGCAATGTGTACCATCTACAAGATGCCCCACAGTGTGTCCCTTAGATGCCTGTGACAGCACCTTACAATTCCACGACCTCTACCATCTGTAACGCCAGCATCTGCAAGTTTCCCTCCAAACTATACACTATCCTGACTTGAAACCATATTGTTGCTCCTTCTCTGTCACTGGCTCAAATTCTTGTAACTCTGTTCTTTACAGCTCTTTTGGTGCCTCTACAGCCCAAGGACTGTGGCAGTTCAAGAAAGCAGCTCACCACCACCTTCCACAGGTAATGGGAATAGGCAATAAATGCTGGGCCAGCCAGCAGTACCTGTATCCCATGAACGAAGACAAAAAGAAAATTACATCCTGGTAATAGTAATACAGTGTTTGTAAACTTTTTTGGATGGTTCAGCGAGATGCAACAGAAAGAGACGAAACTTACAGAGATCCTCATGGATAGTAACTTTTGTTATAGGATTTTACCTAGGCTGAATTTGTATTCGGTTATCAGGGCGGAAAGGTGAGCGGACTCACTCTCAACACCAACCAAATGTAGAGGAAATAGTTCATGAGCTATTATGACTGCTACAATATAAAAAGTCAAGTGCTTTTAAACAATTTAAACAATTTAAAATAACAAGGTGTAGAGCTGGATGAACACAGCAGGCCAAGCAGAATCAGAGGAGCAGGAAGGCTGACATTTCGGGCCTAGACCCTTATTCAGAAATTCGCCTTCTTGCTCCTCTGATGCTGCTTGGCCTGTTGTGTTCATTCAGCTCTACACCTTGTTATCTCAGATTCTCCAGCATCTGCAGTTCCTACTATCTCCTAAACAATTTAAAAATTTATAGACATTGACCAGTAGGTCAGACCTTATGACCTTATGAGATTATCTCCAGTCTTCTTAATTGCAATAAAATGCTTGACATAATGACTCTGCAGGTACACGGTCTGTGTATCCCAGAGCAAGAAGCTTCATTGTGCAGATCATCACAAACAACACTGGAGGCATCTAGATGCTTTGTACTGAGATATTATCCCAGTGGTTGTGAACCTGTAACCGTGAAATATAATCGAATAGACCTGACTGATGATGGTGAACAAGTGAATGTGAAACAAAACAAAAGAGAATGTGGGAAAGAGTGAGAAAAAGTGACAGAGAATGTGAAAGAGAGGATGAAAGAGACAGCTTGTAAGAGAGAATGAGAGGGAATGGAAATGGGCCAGCCAGCAGTACCTGTATCCCATGAACGAAGACAAAAAGAAAATTACATCTTGGTAATAGTAATACAGTGTTTGTAAACTTTTTTAGATGGTTCAGAGAGATGCAACAGAAAGAGATGAAACCTACAGAGGAAAACAGAGAATGAGAGAGAATGCGATGGAGATAATGTGTGAAAGAAAAACAAATTATCATAAAATCCTGACAGTGTGGAAACAGGCCCTTCAGCCCAACAAGTCCACACTGACCCTCAGAGCATCCCACCCAGACCCACCCTCCTAATGTACACATCCCTGAACACTACAGGCAATTTAGCATGGCCAATCTACCTGGTTTGCACATCTTTGGACTGCAGGAGGAAACTGGAGCACCTGGAGGAAACCCATGCAGACATGGGGAGAATGTGCAAACTCCACACAGACAGCTGCCTGAGGGGTGGAACTGAACTCAGGTCCCTGATAATATGAGGCAGTAGTGCTAACCACTGAGCCACCAGTCCACCCCTGAGCCAGGAGAGAATTGAGAAAGTGAATGAGTGGGAATATATAAGACAAAGAATAGGGGAGAGAATGGAACACGATGAGAGAGGGAATGAGAAAACAAGTGGAAGAGAGAAGGGCCTGTATTAGAATTGAAAAGACAGAATGTATTAGAAAGAATGGAAGATAATGAGAGAGAGAAAGAATTAACAAGTGCAAGGGAAAGAGAATGTGAGAGAGACTGAGAGACCAAGGATAAGAAATTGAGAAAGAGAATAAGTGTTGGAAAGATAGAATATTGGAGGGACAGAGAGAAATGACAGAATGTGAAATTGAGAATGAAAAAGAATTGGAGCATGTGAGAGATGAGAAAAGTGATACGGTTTCAGAGACACAAAGTGAGATCTGAGAGAGATGGTGGGAGAGAGATTATGAGAGAAAGTGAGCGAGAGAGTGGGAGAGATCACCATAGAATATTTGGGCAGGACAGAGAGAGTGAAAAAGATTAAACTACAGATCTGCAAGTGTAAAAAGCAGAAGTTGACAAGCCTGTCAGCAATTGGCAGCAATTCAAAACCAGAGGAAGGCAGCGAAACAATACGGAATTCACTGTAATCTCCGACTGTGCTCTGCTTTTATTAAAACAGCTGGGTACTGAACAGTTCAGAGAGCCATGTAATTTATTCTAATTGCCTCCAGTAACTTTGCAGTTCGCCACAACATTATATCAGCAAGCTGTGGTCGCCAGTTTCTGAACAGAGACTCCGGATTCTCGGCTTCTTCGCATCCAAAGAAAACTCGAGCAGATTTCACTGGTGGCTTGTCAAAAGGAAACCGAAAGGTGGACTGAAGCAGATAAGGACGATAGTAAGGTCAGGAGGAGGGGGCGTGTGCCTGGACTGCTCCACATGCTCGAAGCTGGATGGACGCTGTGTTTTTTTGTGTGTAAGATGATCCCTGAGCAACTGAGGTATCAGGCATCCTTAGCATAGTGGCGTATACATTCCTGTCAAAGTCTTTGCACGCCTCCCTGCAGTCTGAACTGACGCTGTGCTCTTCAAGTCAGGATTCAGTGAGGAGTATACAGTCCAGAGCTCAGTGCACAGGCTGAAGAACTTCCACTCAACAACAGACTGGGAAACAGCCGAGTGCTTTCAGTAAAGATTGGTGCTGAAGTGGGGAACTCACCTTGTGTGTGTGAGAGAGAGAGTGGGAAGGAATAAACAAAGTTTTGATCCTCCTTACTTTAGAATAAAACTTCTTTTTGAAATCACCTGCACTCCCTCATTGAAAGTTCAAGTTGTTTGCAGCATTGAAGAGGTTATAATTGCCTATTACTTCCAGAAAGGCTAAAAGGAGTGATAGCACAGAGAATGTGGGCGATGGATTCTCTCTCAGTGGCCTTGCTATGTGCTGCCCTGGCACATGCTGGTTGCAGTGGGCAAGCAAGAGGGACGGAGGGAGGCCGCAGGAGGCTCAGTAAGGTTCAGCACGGAGCATGCAGCTACACCTTTGTCCTGCCTGAACCGGAGGGAGGCTGCCGCGGGTCTCCGGAACAGCCCAGCAGCAATTCCCTACAACGGGACGCACCCCTAGAAGACCAGGAGTGGCCCTCGCAGAAGCTGCAGCAGCTAGAGAGCAGGTCGGACAACAACACCCAGTGGCTACGCAAGGTAAGAGCTTGTTCTGTTTTCCTTTCTTGCATTGTCAGTTCCCGAATGTCAATGCTTCAACTCACATTGGGTACCAGACTACAGCATCACAACCAAACATGATAGAACTCACACCAGGATTCATGTTTTTGCTGGCACTCCAGACGACTATTCCAATGCTCTTTTGACCAGTCCCTCATGTTCCACCCTTCATAAATTTTAGCTCATCCAAGCTCTGCTGCCATGTTCTAACTCACAGCAAGTCCTGTTCACCCATTACCCTCTGTACTCACTGACCTATGTTGGGCCAGCACAGATTAAAATTCAAAATTCTGATCCTTGTTTCCAAATCCCTTCACAGCCTCAATGACCTCCTCCAAGCCCATAACCCTCTGAGATATCTGTGCTTCTCTAGATCTAACCTATTAATTACTCTTGGTTTCCATTGCTCCACCATTAGTAGGTGTGCTTTCATCTCTGGGCTGTAAACTCTGGAATTCCCTCCTTAAACCTATTTGCCTCTTCATTACTCTCTCTTCCTTTAAGATACTCCTTAAATCCTCTTTTTTTTGACCAAGTTTTTGATCCTCTGTTCCGATATCTCATTATGTGACTTGGTATGATTTGTTTGTTTGATAATGGGATGTTTTGCTATGTCAAAGGTGTTACATTAATATTATTTGCTGTTGTGTTGAATAGTCTTCATGTGACAAGTGAAAGGCAATCCTCTGTACAATGTATATATCAATGTGGCCCCCCACAATGATTTAACATTTGGTCACATCAGTTGAGCTTCAAATTTTGCTGGCAAATAGCTTGAATTTCAGCTTAACTCACATTGGCTATTCTATTCAATGATACTGGATGCCCAGTTAGACTGGTGAATCTTCACGAGAATTGCTGATGTTAGTCAGAAGCTCAAGCTGATCATAGGTTGTACTGCATTTACAAAACTGCAATGATCCAGGGATGTCCTTAAAGCTGGTCTAATAGAGTTATCTCAAGCCAACTGCAGCATGTTATTGTATATACTGGAATATATTTTATGTGCTGCACATATTTTATATACTGTATACATTTTATGTATTGCAGATTTTTAGATATTGTACTTCATGCTTACACTTTGTGGTATGACATTTTTATAAATGTATTGTTTCTGTTCAATCACATATGCAATATGTTTTGTGTGATTGTGAAGGTTGGGCTGTGCATGATTTTACGGTTTATGAATGAATGTTGTTTAAATAACTTGTGCAGCTTAGTGATATTATGAAGCAGCGTGCTTTGAGTTACCTGCACAAGTTAATGGAGGTGGTCATTTTGACCTTGTGCAAGAATGCAAATGGTTATGATCTGGAATGCATTGTCTGAGAGAGTGGTAGGGACAGAATTAGTTATGGCTTTCAAAAGGAAACTTGAGAAGCTTCCAAAGGCAATATATTTGCAGGGCTATGAGGAAAAAATGGGAGAATGGGATTTATGGAGTTGGTCTTGTGGAGAGCTGGCATAAACATGATAGACCATATAGCCTCCTGTGCTGTACAGTTTTGCTTTATGTCTCATTTCAGTCACAATAATGGAAATAAAGTTGAGGAGAGATTGAAAAGAGGCTACCAATTCATTATGGTCCAGATCACACAAAGTCAACATTCACTCCACAATGTTCTGCTTTGATTGTAAAGACGTGTGCGGGTTGTGTTAAATGTTGGATGTATATTCTGCATCTGTCCATATTTCCTGGTGTTAAGGTGAAGCTTTTCCTTAACTGAACTAACAAGTTTAACAGTTGTAATTCACTGGACCTGCCACAAATGGTTTTTGGCTCAGTTGTAATTAGTTCACAGCCGTACTGTCACAAAAGCTTCGTTGAATGTTTAGGACAGGCAAGGGAGATCTATTCAGTCTTCAACAGTTATTCTTCAATCTGGTAAATGGAAAGGCTGCTCTGTGTATAAATAAGTCTATAAACATGAGGCTGAATTGAACACGCTCATCATAGCAAAAAGCAACATTTATGACACAATTATATGTTGGCTGTATACCAGTGACCAAATGGGGACAAGTCCTGATTATACAAGCTTTTTGGAAGATGAATGTGTTACCACCAGCAGCACCAACATCCACTCCTCGCTAATCTCCCCCAGCCCATCACCACCACCCCTAACTTTCTGATTCCAAATGAGGACTGTAAGAATACATAAACCATCATTCGAAACAGTGAGAAGCTTTGAGGAGGGTGAGTGGCATTCTTCAAATACTTAAGCACACTAGAAGCAGGACAGAATTTGCAATATCTGTTGCCGTGGTGAGCTGTGCAACAGAAAATTTGGCAAGCTGTTCTGTTAACTTGCTTGAATTCTAGAACTGTTAATGCAGCAGCAAAAATGACTTAAAATGCATTTGTCTCTTACTATCACATTTTCCATATAACCGAGTGTCTATAACTGAAAGTGTGCTGCTGGGGTCACTCAGACTTTGGGCAATCAAGATGGAATGCTATCCAGCTCATTGTTTTTTATGGGCACCTTTTCCAGCTTCCCTACTGTGTTAACCTAAAGTCCATTTGCTTTTCTGTAGTTCTGTACATGGAAAAATTAAAGTCAGAAGAAACATTCAACTAGCTGAGGCTTTCTAGGAAACTTGAACTGTCCAAATCCAATCCTATCCATTTACAGCCAGCGGCTGACTAATTTTTGCTTCTCAGAGCCTCCAATTGAACTACGTAAACATTCAGTGCTGATGAGTACTGCTCATGTCCTCTACTTTACAGATAGAGGCCATAGAGAAAGTGCAAAAGAGATTGGCAAGGATCGTGTGAGAACTGGAAAGGTTATACATACCAGGGCTCTATTTTCTGGAAAAGTGAAGACTGAGGACTAATGCAATAGATAAACTTAAAGATTATGAATGCAGTTCAATAAGGTGGATGCAGAGAAAATGTTTCCACTTCCATGGGAGTCCACAATACAGCGCCATCAATATAAGACAGTCATTAAAGTAGATACCAGGAGAAAACTCTTTACCAGAGTGGGGTAAGATTGTAGAACTTGCTACCAAAGAGACGGTAAATATGAATTATACAAGTATATTGAAAGGGAAGCAGGAGAAACAGAAGAAGGAGAAAGGACTGTTAGGAAATGCTGTAATGGGGGATCTCCTGTGTTGTATAAACTTCTGCATGAAGCAGTTGGGCTGAATAATCTGTTTCTGTGCTGTCAATTTCATGGAATTGTTTGTAATGCCAGTACAAAAACTGGCAGTACCCATCTCATTGAATAACTAGCCCTTATGAGCTGGTGTCTAAGTCTGAAGCTCCAATAACAACTCAGGGTGGAAGGGCACTGATTGAGATTTTAAACCAATCCCAAACCTTGGTAATATGTGGCCCAGGTGATCCCTTCAGTCCGGGGGCTTGACTGCCTCTCTCTCCCTGATCAGTTGTCCACTGGTGGGAAGCAGCACTGGTGGGTCGATAGGGGGCATAGATGTGAATAAAAGAAGGGACCTAAAACTCAAGTCAATCCCAACTCCAGAGCCAGAGAGAGAATGTGGGTAATTACAGACATGTCAGTATAATGTCAGCTCTGGTTAAGTTTCTGGACAGTATGAGTGATCAAATGGATTAATAGGACTTGTTCAGAGATTCAGCATGGATTTGTGAAAAATAGTGTCTACCTAGCCAAAATGAATATTCTTGAAGAGGTCATTAGCATGGTGAGTAGGGGAGTGCCAATAGATAGTGTCTAGATGGGCTTTCAAAAACAATATGTCATTTTGCACGCCAGATTATTGCAGAAGTAAAAACTCATTAAATTGGAAGTAGCCTTATGACATCTTTGAGAATTTGCAGGAGACAGAGGATAGTGATAAAGAAAATTTATTCTGATTGATGGGATGTGATGTGTGGTTATCTCCAGGGATGTGTACTGGGCACTCAGTTTTTCACCATGTATGTGATTGGCAGGGAGGAATCAAGAGTCCTTTATCCAGATTTGCTAATGACATGAAGTAAGTTGGATAATTTAGAGCAAAATGTTACAAAGGGATAGACAGAGTAAGAGTGAGTAAGCTACTATTTGGGTGATTCTAAGTGATATTTTCATCCTCCTAATTGTTCTTACATTGACTACTTAACAGTGATAATTTATATTGAAAATCAGCTGCACTGCCTGGGCAAATCTGGGGCAAATGAAGTTCAGTATGGGCAAGTGCTAAATCATCCACACATCCAGGAAAACAAATTACAAAGTTGTCTTATTATTTGGAGAGAATTGATGATGTGAAGGAACAAAGCAGTTTGGGTGCTGCAATTTTATGATTTATGTGGCTAAAGGCCAAATGTTGAAAAATGAGATAAGGTTGGGTGGCTATATACTGGCCAGTAAAGGGCCAAATGGTCATCTGTGCTATAATTTTTAAAAGTATATATTATCAGGTATACATGCCACGTCAAGCTGGTGTACATAGATAGACAAAATAATTGGAAAGTAGAATGTTGGACTTTAACTTGAAGGAACTGAAGTACAAAACAGAAGAAGTTAGGTGTGGATTGTGGGGCTGCTAGGATTGAAAATGTTTAAAATATTGATACGATTGATTAGGGTGGGTAGCGAAAAACAAGAGGGATAGCTTTGAATTTAGAGCTCGTCTATTATGATTAAAGTAAGGTAAGACTACTTAACGCAAGCTTTTGGTCCTAAAATATTTTGGGTGTTGCAGTCAATTAAAAAGTTTCAATATTACATTTTTATTAGATGTGTCTAATGTGTCTGGTGTGTGTGTGTGTGTGTGTGTGTGTGTTGTGAATGTATGTGCATTTTTAGAACTATTTGAAACAGATCTCTTTAATAATTATTGGAGCTGAGGGAGTTCCTGTGCAGTTACTCTTACAATTCTATGGCAGGTGCTTTTTTTCAGCCCTCGATCATTCCCCTTGGGTGTGATTGTTCAACATAATTGTCTTAATAAAGTGGCGTGTTCCTGTTATTCACTGGTGAAACAGAGATACCCAAGCCGGGATC